GCGTTACAGTGCAAATCATCCATAAAATTAGTTGCCGATTTTTTTGGTACTGATCGGCTAAGGTCAGACCGAATTTTGTCCAACATTCAACAATTTAAAATTTTGCCAAAATGGACTATTCTGACCAGTGAAAATTAGTAAAAAAACATTAATAAACATTCTTACATGAAGAAATATAAAAAACCTACTTCCCCTTTTAGAAATACTCACCGGTCTCCATTTCCAAGTTTCAGGCTAAAATCTACAAAAAAAAGAAGTAAAGGAACGTTAATAAACGTTCTTACATAAAGAAAAACAAAAAAACCCTCCTACTTTCCTAAATACTCACCGGTCTCCATTTTCGAGTTACAGGCTAAAATCTACAAAAAAAAGGAAGTAAAAGAACATTAATAAATATTCTTGCATAAATAAAATAAAAAAAACCCACCACTTCCTTTTTTTAAATTACTCACTGGTTTCCATTTCTGAGTTCTGGGCCGAAATCTACAAAAAAATAGAAATAAAAGAACGTTAATAAACGTTCTTACATAAAGAAAACAAAAAAAACTCTTTACTCTCCAAATACTCACCGGTCTCCATTTCTGAGTTGCAGGCTAAAATCTACAAAAAAAAGAAGTAAAGAACGTTAATAAACGTTTTTACATAAAAAAAAAACAAAAAAATCTCCTCCTGCTTTCCCCTTTAAAAACACTTACTGATCCTCATTTTCAAGTTCTCAGGCCGAAATCTGTAAAAGGAAAAAAGTAAAAGAACGTTAATAAACGTTCTTATATAAGAAACCCCCCAAAAAACTCGCTTTCACCTTTAAAAATACTCACCGTCTCCATTTCTAAGTTCCGGCTGAAATCTATAAAAAAAAGTAATAAAAGAATGTTAATAAATGTTCTTACATAAAAAACAAAAAAATTTTTAGAGACACTTACCCATCTCTATTTCCAAGAATCAAAAAAAAAAGAATATTTTTTTTTAAAAAAAAATTTGTTTACTATCGTAATTAGGTGTAGATCGGCCAATCAAGTAATAATGGCCTTAATGGGTGGAAATCTATCTATGTAGATCATGATATTAATAACGTTACCTCAAATAAACCACAAAAAATGAAAAAAATTTTAAATAAGGTGCACGGCAAATTTCATAATACTCAAATGTATAATGAAAATTTGGTAAGTTCCATTTTTGCTTCTAATTTTTTAAGTTTGAAGTAGAACTGACTTTGAGAATGCTGCTAACGTTCTTTTTCTAACTTTTTTATAGAAACATTATGAACGCTATTTAGAATTGTTTTTTAAGACTGGACTTACAGATAATGCCATAATGGGAAGGGAATGAGTAGATTTATTTAATAAGAAGCATTTTTAACGTTTCTGTTTGCTTCTATTTTGTAGGAAATGTTGGCCAAGATGAATTAGACTTACACAGTGCTAACTTGACTCCTGCATGCATGTTGTAAAGAAAAGGGAAAAGAAAGGGTTTTTTTTATATTTATTTAATGAGAAACGTTTCCAACATAAGTAATGAGAAAGTTGACAAGTAGGAGTTTTGAGGGTTTCTCTTTTATTCTTTTTTTTGTTTTTTTTTGTATTGGTGGGAACAGAACTTCTTATTTTTAATTTAATTTTAACAATTTGCTTTATTACCTTGTAGTATTTTATATACTGTACGTATACCCTATAAAAAAATCGGATACGTTTTTATAAAGTTTTTATACGATTTTTTTTCCTTAGAAATAACGTATCATGAAAGGATACGGAAAAATGCACAATTCCGTATCACTAAAAATATGGTTTGGATACGGAATTTACACGGGATTCGTATGGAATTTACATGATTTGATCACTGATTTTATCATGAAATTTATACGATTTGGTTACTGAATTTACCATTATATTACAGTTTATTATAGTTGTATTTACATAAATTTAATTCTACTTTATTAAATTAAATATAAATTAAAAATTAAACAAATACAAATATATTAAATACATTATTAAAATTCCCTTCCTTAT